AATTCCCGCAATTCCACACAAATTAAATGCTCTTTAATTCAAATAAAGTATTACACATATAAAAGGCTAATAAGAGCAGAAGTAATATTACTGTTATAAAAACTAATTTATTACATTTAATCAATATATACTGATAGAAACAATAAAGTTTAAATTAATATAAAATTATAAAAATAAACTCGAAAGTTAAAACAAATGAAAAAGCGAACGTTTCGATCCAATTTTTCGGATCTTCTTCAGCGCAGTACACAAAGTAAATTAAAATCACAAAAGTCTAAAGTTCATGTTTAACGTATAAAAGTCTAATAAACATATTTAAACGCGGTAACATCAATAAACAAAATAAAACGTCGTAAGATTAACACTAAGATGATTCTCACTAATCCATCACATTTACGTAACTGTGGGAAGCGCTCCTCTTTAGTTTTCTGACTACGAGGTTGGCAGGTGTTAAAATATAAAACATTAATCGCTAATCCTATAAATTAAAATAATTTTCTCATTACACCTCACTAATTATAAGATCCACAATCAAGTGCGTTATAAAAGAATAATCTAACAAATGGTATCAAAAAAAAAATATGCTAATAAAAACTTACATATATTTATGATGTGACAGTATTTTAATTGTAACAGTAACAAAAGTGACGCTAGTGTAATCCTCATGTCAGTAGAACGGCTCAGAGGATACTAAAGCTCAGTTGGAAACGAAAAGTGACAAACAACTATAATCATTTTGTGTTTGTTATTTAACCTTAGAGTTTAGGTAGTCTCTCTATAGCTTCGATATAAATATCAGATAGACTTTCAGTCTGCAGATTGAGACTATTATTTTGTCTTTTTATGTATATCATTTCTGATACTGATCTTTTCCCATAATATATTTCTTTATCTAAAATATTAATGTTCTCCCAATCAAATTCATGGTTAAAATTAACGCGGTGGTCCGTTATTACCGTTATATTCATTTTTTAGAAGAAAATGAAAGATACAATAAAAAATTTAATTTCTTACTTAGAAAAAACTAAACATTCGTGACATAAACTCGATACACTATACTTATTAATATAATAATTCAGATTCAAAACATAAGCTATCAATACAATCATGTCCTAATTATGTTTCTCTTATTAATAACGAAGTAACGCGGAATACCTCGAATAAGATAACGTACGTTAGAATAGATCCTGCTTCTTTCAATAATACATGTCAGGATTTAAAACAGTTGAAAGATAAATGGTTTATCAATAAGTCTTCAATTAATATTCCCGATGATATCCAATGTTTTTTACAGTTGGGGAGTAATTTTAGTTTACCTTTTGACAACAGAACTAATTTAACGATTGAGTTTGTTAAGAACATTGAAAATAATATTAAAAAATTACCAGTTAGAGAACGTACAATTATAAGGAATGGAACAAGTAATGTGATAAAATCTATTTCTACTTATTCTTATCTTACGAATGAAGCAAATAATACGCTTTCACATTTAAATCACATTACTAAAAATTTCTTAAAAGAAAATAAAAATCTTATCCTTACACGTGCGGATAAAGGAAATATAACGGTAGCGTTGGATAAAGATAAGTATATACAAAGTATTGAGAACTTGTTGAAAGATAATAATACATATACGTTAGTCAAAAAAGACCCTACTAGAAAATTGATAAACAGTCTTTATGACTTGTTAGTTCGTTAGAAAAATTCTAAGTTTATTTCAACTAATGAATACAGATTGTTGTTGTTTACTGATGAAACTCTCCCTGGGGCATATGGTTTGCCTAAAGTCCATAAAGAAAACTGCCCGTTCAGATTAATAGTGTCATCGGTTGACGCTCCTCTGTATAACTTGGCGACTTTCCTGCACAAAATTATAGTTAAAAGTCGTGTCTCCCAATTCCTGAAAGTCGTGTTGACAACGGTTTTGAACTAGTGAAAAAATTGTCACAGATTCACATTGATAGTGAATTTAAATTAATCTCGTTAGATGTTATCTCGCTATTCACTAACGTCCCTATTGATTTGGCGCTTGAAAGTATTTCCTCTAGATGGGAATTTATTTCAAAGAATTGTGATTTATCAAAATCAGAATTTTTAAATGGAATAGGCTTAGTTTTAAATTCTACCTTTTTTATTTTTAATAACATTATCTACCGCCAAACTTTTGAAACGCCCATAGGTTCTCCTCTTTCACCAGTGATTGCAGATCTAGTTTTACAAGATCTTGAGCCTAAATCATTGCAATTGTTAAAATTTACACCCCCGATTTACTTTGGATATGTTGACGACATTGTATTGACTGTTCTATTGACTTTAATTGACCATACACTTATGAGTTTTAATTCTTACTATAATAGACTCCAATTCACTCTGGAAACTGACAATAATAATAAAATAAACTTTTTGGATTTGACATTAATTTTAGAAAACAACACGATAATTACTGATTGGTATCACAAGCCGACATTCTCGGGGAGGTATTTACATTTCTTGTCTCAGCATCCATTTTGTCAAAAGCGGAGAACTATGTACAGTCTAGTGGATAGAACAGTTTTATTATCACATCCACGATTTCATTATAAAATTCTCGTTACCGTTGTCAGCATACTTTTAGAAAACTGTTATCCGCTTGACTTGATCTTCAATACTATTAACCAACGCGTTTAGTAATTTTATTCAAATAATTAAAAAATATCACAATTAACGTTAACAATAATAATAATGACAATAATAATAAACAAACGTCTTTTTTTACTATACCATTTTTACCCGGTTTGACTGAACAATTTAGAAATATTATTAGAGACATGAATATTAAATTATCCGTTTTTAGTTTTAATAAATGTTCGCGAACGCGTTGCGTGAGAAAGGATCGCGCGGCACAAAGGATAAGTCACTTTTGTATAAAGAATTTTAATTAATAATATAGTACATTGTTTGACAAAATACACGCACAAAATTTAACACAAAATTAACTCAGTTTCAGCGGAGAGAATCAAAATCAAAAGAATAAGCGGCGGTCGTCAACGAATTTTTAGCGGTTTAACAAGTATGCGGTTTGCGTTATGCGGTTCACGGCGGAAAAGCGATAAGGCGCGAATTTCGGGTGCGAGCTCTCTTTTATGGTTTCCCGAAGAAAACCCACCCTTTCGGGAAGCGCCAATTATTGTGAGCAATTTAAATTGTGTTCAAGGTGACTCGAGGACACAGCTCATAATTGGCCGCTTCGCTAAGATGCGCAAAGGACTCGCGTTTTGCCATGCGCGCGCGGCCGCTCGCTATTTCTAATTGGTGATTGAGGCCGCGTGGCAATTTTGCGCATGCTTTTAACGCGATAAGTATCCGGCGAAAACGGTTGCGATACCGTTAATTGTTTATACGCAAAGAATGTTTTGTGATGACAGGTTCTAATTTATGACATATTTTTGCTTTGACAAACATACAAAAAAGGGAACATGACTTTTATTATTGACGCTGATCGATGATTGTAGAATTTACTAAAATTTTACTTTGCATCTCAAACAATAAGTTAAATTAATATATACGAGTACATAAAGATACTATTCCTAAAATGAATAATACCAACGTTGTTTATAAAATTAATTGTTCAAACTGCGACGCTTCTTACGTTGGCCAGACTAGTAGAAGACTGGCCACAAGAATTTCTGAACATAAGACACATATAGTTAGATACTAATACTAAATCAGTAATAACGGACCACCGCGTTAATTTTAACCATGAATTTGATTGGGAGAACATTAATATTTTAGATAAAGAAATATATTATGGGAAAAGATCAGTATCAGAAATGATATACATAAAAAGACAAAATAATAGTCTCAATCTACAGACTGATACTGAAAGTCTATCTGATATTTATATCGAAGCTATAGAGAGACTACCTAAACTCTAAGGTTAAATAACAAACACAAAATGATTATAGTTGTTTGTCACTTTTCGTTTCCAACTGAGCTTTAGTATCCTCTGAGCCGTTCTACTGACATGAGGATTACACTAGCGTCACTTTTGTTACTGTTACAATTAAAATACTGTCACATCATAAATATATGTAAGTTTTTATTAGCATATTTTTTTTTGATACCATTTGTTAGATTATTCTTTTATAACGCACTTGATTGTGGATCTTATAATTAGTGAGGTGTAATGAGAAAATTATTTTAATTTATAGGATTAGCGATTAATGTTTTATATTTTAACACCTTGTGACGGCCCGATTAACCGTCACTAGCTGCACATGGCCAACCAACCACCCGCGCTCATGTAAACGGCCCCTTTCGGGGTCACCACATGAACACGTTGGAAATCCGCCTTTTCGCCCCTACCCGTCACTCGACCCCCGCCAAGCGAGTCTTGGAGTGGGGTGGCCCGTCGGGTATAAAGAGCGGCGCAGCCGAAGCTTCACGACCAATCCCGTCCTGGTCCCTCGAGCGTACTAAGGGATCACTCCTCAAATCCCACACTCCAAGTCATCCCGGCCGACGAGCGTTCTCGTCGTGTAGGCCGAGTGTTCTCGGTCACCGGGTCCTGTCCGTAAGTCATCCCGGCCGACGAGCGTTCTCGTCGTGTAGACCGAGTGTTCTCGGTCACCGGGTCCTGTCCGTAAGTCATCCCGGCCGACGAGCGTTCTCGTCGTGTAGGCCGAGTGTTCTCGGTCGCCGGGTCTTGTCCGTAAGTCATCCCGGCCGACGAGCGTTCTCGTCGTGTAGGCCGTGTGTTCTCGGTCACCGGGTCCTGTCCGTAAGTCATCCCGGCCGACGAGCGTTCTCGTCGTGTAGGCCGAGTGTTCTCGATCACCGGGTCCTGTCCGTAAGTCATCCCGGCCGACGAGCGTTCTCGTCGTGTAGGCCGAGTGTTCTCGGTCACCGGGTCCTGTCTGTAAGTCATCCCGGCCGACGAGCGTCCTCGTCGTGTAGGCCGAGTGTTCTCGGGCATCGGGTCCTGTCCGTAAGTCACCGGCGCTCGACGGAGTCCGCCCTTCTCAGGGCGCCCGTACGCGCGTCCACGTTGGAAATTCGAATGTGAAGGTGGTCTCGCCGATCATCCGACGGAGGTGGAACTTGGTCGACTTTACTGCAGCCTCCCAAAGACCACCAAAGTGCGGGGCCGCTGGCGAGTTGAAATGCCAGCGGATTCCTTGAGCGGTGGCGGCAAGGACGATACGATGACCTTCGGCTGTCGCTGCATTGAAGAGACTTCGCAGCGTACGATCTGCCCCGATGAACGTCGTGCCGCAGTCGCTGTAAATCTCAGCACAGAAACCCCTGCGGGAGACGAAGCGGTGCAGAGCGGCGATAAAAGCCTCTGAGGTGTAGTCTGAGACGACTTCCAAGTGAATGGCCTTCGACCAGAAACAGACGAAGACTGCGATGTACCCCTTGTGCGCACGGTGTCCACGTCCCTTGCTGGTCCGGAGGAGGATGGGTCCCGCGTAATCCAAGCCGGTGCTGAAGAACGGTCGAGTTGGCGTTACTCGGTCCCGAGGAAGGTTACCCATCTGAGGCTGTGGCGTGGCAGCACGCCATCGAGTGCAGGTAACGCATCGGTGTAGCTGCTGCTTGACGGCGGTTCTTCCTCGAGGTACCCAGAAGCGCAGGCGGAGCAGGCCGAGTGTCAGCTGCACACCCCCGTGCAGTGTCCGTCGATGGCAGGAATCTATCACCAGCCGAGTCAGCCAGGATGCCGCAGGAATGATCATCGGATGTTTCTCGTCGAGCGGTAGTTGAGAGTTTTTGAGACGTCCTCCGACGCGCAGTACGCCTTGACCGTCGAGGAACGGACTCAACTTTACTAGGTGGCTTCGCGGTGGACTAGTGCGTCCAGCAGAGGCCGCGGCTACGTCCGTCGGAAAGTGGAGCGCCTGCACTACTCGCAGCCATCGAAACAAGGCGGAGTCTAGCTCGTCCGGATGCAATGGACGGCCAGGTCTGGCGTCACGTCTCACCGGGTTGAGCCATCGACGACACCACGCAGTGACTCGCACCAGCCGTTGCAGCGTCGGAAACCGTAGAAGAAGGTCCGGTTCGGCAGTGACTGGCGCCTTGACTACCAGACTGGTGACTCGCTGCTCCGGGAGGTCATCCTCTGGGACGTCGATGTCTGCACCAGGCCATGCAGCCTCGTCCTCTAACAGCCAGGTAGGTCCTGTCCACCACAATTCATGATTAAGTAAATCATCAGGGGTAACACCGCGCGAGGCACAATCTGCAGGATTTTCTTGTCCGGCGACGTGTCTCCAGTGAGCGTCTGGAAGCAGGGTCTGAATCTGAGACACTCGGTTGGCGACAAAGGTTTTCCAGCGGGTGCAGTGTCCGCGAATCCAGTGAAGGGTAACCTTAGAGTCGGACCACAGGTGCACCGGCGTAGCAGCCAAGCCGAGGGTAGTGCGTACGTGCAGCATGAGCGTGGTAAGTAATGCGGCGGCACAAAGTTCCAATCGAGGTAACGACACCTGTTTGACTGGTGCGACCTTTGATTTTGCCATCAACAGATTGATTGATGTTTTCTCTGTTGCAGCGTTGCGGATGTACACTACGACGGCGTATCCTCGCTCCGACGCATCGGCAAACCCATGGAGCTGCAATTGCGACTGGTCATCTCCGGTGTTGAGCCAACAATCCACACGGATGTGATCCAACAAAGGAAGTTGATTTAACAGCTGTCTCCAGCGGTGTGCGTCCTGATCAGGCAGCGGAGAGTCCCAATCCAGCCGTTGAAGCCACGTAGTCTGAATCAGAATTTTGGCTCGGATGACGACAGGTGCTAGCCAGCCCATTGGATCAAATAGTCGAGCTGTCTCGGCCAAAACTCGTCTCTTTGTGAGGTCGGTGATTGCACGTGGACGTATGGTGAAGGAGAACCAATCACCTTGAGGATGCCATCGAAGATCCAGGATAGCGTGGCTCTCTCCTTCCCACGAGCGCGGTCCGCGTTGAAGCCGATGTTCCGGTGGAATTCTTGTGAGCACCTGCTGATTGTTGGCAGCCCACTTTCTTAGAGGAAATCCGCCCGCCATGCAGAGACTCCGTAGTTCCTGTTGAAGTTCGATAGCATCCGCTAGGCTGTCAGCACCGGTGACCACGTCGTCGACATAACAGTCGTGTCGCAGCGCCCTGACTCCGCGTGGATACCGTGTTTCTTCGTCAAGTTGTTGAAAAGTCCTGATGGCGAGGAAGGGTGCGCACGCCAGTCCGTAGGTCACGGTCTTCAGCTCGTACTCGTGGATGTTGTCCGAGCTGTTGTGGCGTCACAGGATGGTTTGCAGGCGACAATCCTCCGGATGCACAAGAATTTGTCGGTACATTTTCTCGATGTCCGTGACGAAAACGTAACGACGCCAACGCCAACGGAGTAAGACGTCAGCGAGTGCTGGCAAGAGATTAGCTCCAGTGAGGAGGTGCGAGTTCAGCGACTCTCCGGACCGTGTGCGTTGGGAGCCGTTGAACACAACCCTGAGCTTCGTGGTCGTGCTCGACTCCTTGAGAACCCCGTGATGCGGTAAGTAGCACCTGGGGCTAGAAGCTGTTGTAGACGTGCTAACCTTCTTCATATGGTGCAGGTCTTCGTACTCGTCCATGAAATCTCGATAGAGGTCGCCGAACCAAGAATCACGGGCTCCCTTCCGCTCCATGGCTTCCAGGAGGCGCTCTGCAGGTCGACGAGTCTCGCTGAGCGATGTCGGCGGTGAAGCAAATGGCAGCCGCACCACGTATCTTCTGCTGGACATGCGTGTGACTGTGCGCACATAGATGTCCTCGCATCTGGCTTCGTCGGCGGTGAGCAAGGTCCCAGCTACTGGCTCACGTTCCTGCTTTCAGAATCCAGGTCAGCGAGGTCGTTGTCGGCGGTGCACTGAAACGTGCGGCAATGTCCGTCGGTTGCTGCTGCGTCGTAGCCCCCGGACAGGATCCATCCTAAGCTAGTCTGCTGGGCGATTGGCATGCGTGAGCCGCCCTTGCGAAGGCCTTCCTCAAGGATCAACGAGTAGACCTCTGCTCCAAGAAGTAGTTCCGCAGAGTCGTCATCCAGGAAACGCGGGTCGGCCAATCGGAGTCCTTGGATGTGAGGCCAGCTACGATCCTCGCGTTGAGCGGTGCCTTGTTGCGATGAGATGCGAGGCAGCACAAAGGCAACCACGCGGAGCTCGGCGTTGGTCACGTCGGACGTGATGTTCAGCGTGACCTTGCCACGAGCCGATCCAGAGCGAGTCCCTCCGATGCCAAAGATGGACAGATCCGTTGAAGTTCGAGGCAGACGAAGACGCTGAGCCAGAGCCTTAGAGATGATGGACACCTCGGAGCACTGGTCAATCAAGACTCGAACCTCGTGTGGTGATCCGTAGCGATCAGCGACCTTGACGCAAGCAGTTGCGAGAAGGACGGCCTTGTGGCTTTTAGATTGCCGTGAGGTGGCCAGTGTGGTGGCAAGTGAAGTGGCCTCAGCTGACGGTGTTGACGTGGATGCCCCGTGCAGCATGGTGTGGTGTCGCGCGTTGCAAGTGAGGCAATTCTTTTTCGATTGACACTGTGACAAGAAGTGGTTGCCCAGACAGTTGAAGCACAGTTGGTTGGTCTCCACAAACGTTTTCCGTTCGACCGCGGTCTTGACCTTGAATTCCTTGCAGGTCATCAGTGTATGTTTTTCACGACACAGCGCACACTGAGGTGAATCTGTGCCTTAATGTTTTGTGACGTGCGCTTTGGCGAATCGTGATGCTTCTCCGGGACCTTTCGTACCACTCCTCGATCGTGCGGCGTTGAGTGTCAATATCCGTCGACTAATAAAGTCGAGAAGTGCCTCGTTCTGTGGTGGATCGGTGGAGTCTGATGTGGTTGACTCCCACTCGAGACGAGTGCGTGCGTCAAACAATTCGATGACCAGGTGATTGAACAGGTCCATCCCGTGCGTGTTGATAGGACGTCCAATACTCTCCTGTGCATTGACGGCGGCGGTGACAGCGTTGTGGATGCGGCTCAGCTCCTCGGCGATATCTCCCTTCATCTTTGGCACGGCGGTAAACGTGACAAAGTTGGAGCGGATTAACTCTCTTTTATTATCATAATGCTTGTCCAAGATTGCTCAAGCGCGATCGTAATTGTCACTTGTGACAGGTAGTGACTTTATCAACTTTTCAGCCTGACCTGTCAGACATGAGCGGAGGTGGTGAAGGCGCTCGATGTTCGAGATGGAATTGCTGCTCACAACGGACAGGAAGAGATCACGAAATGATGGCCAGTCAGCGTAGGCGCCAGAGAACGGCGGCAACTTGATGCGCGGCAGCGAAGACTTTGATGCGACGTCGACTGATGGAGATACGTTCGGCTTCCGGAAATGTTCAGCGTAGCCATCCAAGATACTGCGTTGTGTCACGTAAAGATTTTCAGTATCTCCATGCAACTCCGACTTGTAGTAGTCGCTCTCACTAAATTTCTCTTTCAGAGCCGCGCGAATGAGATCATGCTGTGCCTCGAATTTCGTCCACAGTTGATCTAGGATCCTGGTGCGTGTAGATACGGCACTGGCGGTGATGTTGGTGGTGCCCAGCTTTTTCAAATATTCCACGGAGCGTGAAATACGGACCTGGATCTCACGTTGGCAATCGATCAAAGTGTTCACATCCATGTCGATCTACGAACTCACTGACTGCACCAAGAGACACGTTCACAAACTTGTGGATGCCGGCACGACGTAATCCGGCTCGAAGGACCAGAAATATGTTCGCGAACGCGCTGCGTGAGAAAGGATCGCGCGGCACAAAGGATAAGTCACTTTTGTATAAAGAATTTTAATTAATAATATAGTACATTGTTTGACAAAATACACGCACAAAATTTAACACAAAATTAACTCAGTTTCAGCGGAGAGAATCAAAATCAAAAGAATAAGCGGCGGTCGTCAACGAATTTTTAGCGGTTTAACAAGTATGCGGTTTGCGTTATGCGGTTCACGGCGGAAAAGCGATAAGGCGCGAATTTCGGGTGCGAGCTCTCTTTTATGGTTTCCCGAAGAAAACCCACCCTCTCGGGAAGCGCCAATTATTGTGAGCAATTTAAATTGTGTTCAAGGTGACTCGAGGACACAGCTCATAATTGGCCGCTTCGCTAAGATGCGCAAAGGACTCGCGTTTTGCCATGCGCGCGCGGCCGCTCGCTATTTCTAATTGGTGATTGAGGCCGCGTGGCAATTTTGCGCATGCTTTTAACGCGATAAGTATCCGGCGAAAACGGTTGCGATACCGTTAATTGTTTATACGCAAAGAATGTTTTGTGATGACAGGTTCTAATTTATGACATATTTTTGCTTTGACAAACATACAAAAAAGGGAACATGACTTTTATTATTGACGCTGATCGATGATTGTAGAATTTACTAAAATTTTACTTTGCATCTCAAACAATAAGTTAAATTAATATATACGAGTACATAAAGATACTATTCCTAAAATGAATAATACCAACGTTGTTTATAAAATTAATTGTTCAAACTGCGACGCTTCTTACGTTGGCCAGACTAGTAGAAGACTGGCCACAAGAATTTCTGAACATAAGACACATATAGTTAGATACTAATACTAAATCAGTAATAACGGACCACCGCGTTAATTTTAACCATGAATTTGATTGGGAGAACATTAATATTTTAGATAAAGAAATATATTATGGGAAAAGATCAGTATCAGAAATGATATACATAAAAAGACAAAATAATAGTCTCAATCTACAGACTGATACTGAAAGTCTATCTGATATTTATATCGAAGCTATAGAGAGACTACCTAAACTCTAAGGTTAAATAACAAACACAAAATGATTATAGTTGTTTGTCACTTTTCGTTTCCAACTGAGCTTTAGTATCCTCTGAGCCGTTCTACTGACATGAGGATTACACTAGCGTCACTTTTGTTACTGTTACAATTAAAATACTGTCACATCATAAATATATGTAAGTTTTTATTAGCATATTTTTTTTGATACCATTTGTTAGATTATTCTTTTATAACGCACTTGATTGTGGATCTTATAATTAGTGAGGTGTAATGAGAAAATTATTTTAATTTATAGGATTAGCGATTAATGTTTTATATTTTAACACCTTGTGACGGCCCGATTAACCGTCACTAGCTGCACATGGCCAACCAACCACCCGCGCTCATGTAAACGGCCCCTTTCGGGGTCACCACATGAACACGTTGGAAATCCGCCTTTTCGCCCCTACCCGTCACTCGACCCCCGCCAAGCGAGTCTTGGAGTGGGGTGGCCCGTCGGGTATAAAGAGCGGCGCAGCCGAAGCTTCACGACCAATCCCGTCCTGGTCCCTCGAGCGTACTAAGGGATCACTCCTCAAATCCCACACTCCAAGTCATCCCGGCCGACGAGCGTTCTCGTCGTGTAGGCCGAGTGTTCTCGGTCACCGGGTCCTGTCCGTAAGTCATCCCGGCCGACGAGCGTTCTCGTCGTGTAGACCGAGTGTTCTCGGTCACCGGGTCCTGTCCGTAAGTCATCCCGGCCGACGAGCGTTCTCGTCGTGTAGGCCGAGTGTTCTCGGTCGCCGGGTCTTGTCCGTAAGTCATCCCGGCCGACGAGCGTTCTCGTCGTGTAGGCCGTGTGTTCTCGGTCACCGGGTCCTGTCCGTAAGTCATCCCGGCCGACGAGCGTTCTCGTCGTGTAGGCCGAGTGTTCTCGATCACCGGGTCCTGTCCGTAAGTCATCCCGGCCGACGAGCGTTCTCGTCGTGTAGGCCGAGTGTTCTCGGTCACCGGGTCCTGTCTGTAAGTCATCCCGGCCGACGAGCGTCCTCGTCGTGTAGGCCGAGTGTTCTCGGGCATCGGGTCCTGTCCGTAAGTCACCGGCGCTCGACGGAGTCCGCCCTTCTCAGGGCGCCCGTACGCGCGTCCACGTTGGAAATTCTAGTTATAAGTCGTGTCCGCGTCCGTATAATCTGGTCGCGTCTCGTCTGTAATATTCTTATCTGTAAATTCTAGTTAGAAGTCGTTTCCGCGTCCGTATAATCTGGTCGCGTCTCGTCCGTAATATTCCTATCTGTAAATTCTAGTAATAAGTCGTGTCCGCGTCCGTATCATCTGATCGCGTTTCGTCCGTTATACGATACTATGTATTGATAGACTGAACTACGGGTCAACCCCTGAAAGGAAGCCCGAATAAACTATACTTTTGCCAGAACAACCGCGTGTTATTGCAAATCTGAGTCTCCCCTCTTCCCGAATCCTGGCACCGACGAGCCGATCCGTGGCGTCGGGAAAGGTGTTTTGTTACAACCTGCCAACCTCGTAGTCAGAAAACTAAAGAGAAGCGCTTCCCACAGTTACGTAAATGTGATGGATTAGTGAGAATCATCTTAGTGTTAATCTTACGACGTTTTATTTCGTTTATTGATGTTACCGTGTTTAAATATGTTTATTAGACTTTTATACGTTAAACATGAACTTTAGACTTTTGTGATTTTAATTTACTTTGTGTACTGCGCTGATGAAGATCCGAAAAATTGGATCGAAACGTTCGCTTTTTCATTTGTTTTAACTTTCGAGTTTATTTTTATAATTTTATATTAATTTAAACTTTATTGTTTCTATCAGTATATATTGATTAAATGTAATAAATTAGTTTTAGAGCAGGCCGCCATGTTATTTTTCTGAGTAATTAACAAATTGGTACTCTGGAATTACGAGCAATTATTTTTCATTGTACGGGCTAGTATGAATTTCAAATC